ATAAATAATATCCCCCCCCCCCCCCCCCCCCCGAGTGTTTTCATTAAGAAGCTGGAACAGTAATATTTCTGAAGTAGGTACTTTGATGTAAATGTGATTTTTGTTGAAGTCAAAGGGTAGGGGAGTCGCTCCAGGAGTGAAAAGGGGTGAGGCGCACAAAAGCCAGTGCCGCTGCCTGGTTCCTCCTCCCAGTTCTTCCTTCAAGCCGAAAGCCAGCTTGCTGCTTGGTGTTCGCGTCTGTTCTGGGCGGTGTGACACGGGAACCGGTGCGCGGACCTCCTTCCTCTCGGCACGCCGCACTTCTTGCGACACAGCTGGAATAGTTCAGGCTTTTGACACCTAGGCATCGCGTTTCTGCAGGGTTCCCTGTTATAATGTCACTTGATGTAGCGACAGCTGGTTGTTGCATCAGTTCGTGTCGTGCTTTATAATCCCCTTACGTGTTTGTGTAAAACCTTCAGTCACGATCCATGTACCTCACACAGATTTGTTCCTTAGAATATGCGACTGTAAAATGAAATGTGTAACGCTAATCAAAATGGTGCATCTTAATATTTCTGTTTTATTTTCCAGCATGATTTATGTTCTGGTGAGCTCTTAAGACGACATTCAGCAAGCTTTGTTCCAATTAAGTGCATGCAAAAGCCACAAAACACGGATTCTTTACAACGAGAACCTCTTACCAAGATCAAATACGGAACCTAATGATTGCATTTGCGTTGGAAAACAATGACTCCCCTATTTTTAAAATATTTCCACATTTTATACTTGTGGAAAGACTGTTTTCTTATATTTTACTGGGACACTGAAATTAAAGAATTACATGTAAGTTAATATAACGGTTACTGGGTTTTGAGAAGTTTTGACTTTGCACTCCATAAGGAACAGCCATAATCTTCACGTAGGTATTCGTTACTGACTAGCCTTAGTAGACTAGGGATTTTCTTTAGACTGGGCTTCATAGTGGCTCGTTTGGACTTGCGTATCCCGCTCTAACTATAAATCAGCTGTAGCTGCCGAGTGCTTGGGAAGGACTGGAGGCGCTGTGTGTGTTTGACCTGTAGGCGACGTTGGTCTTAAGAGATGAATTCGTGGACACGGTTGCAAAAATAGGAGTTCTATTTTGGTTTATTTTATTTTATTTTTTTTTCTGTCTGGTTAACCTTTCCCCGTATATGCATGGTTCGGAGACTTCTGTATTTTCACCGAATGTTAGCCTTGCTTTAATCTCAAGCATATGTCATTGGATAGGAGAAGTTGAACTGTCCACAAAGGTGTGAATTTAAATGATGATTTTTATTTTTTTTCAATGTCTGTGCTGTCTTATTAACGAATGGACAAACCTGCAACATTTATCGAGTCCAATGATGAAAATACTCTCGAGTTTAAGAGTAATAGTACAGAGCTTTTCAAAGCAGAAAGTGAGATTGTGAAACTGCCCTGCTGTTCCTTAGTGCAATAAATAATAAAAAAAAAATCTCAAATTCAGAAACACTTATTTTAACTGGTGCCTTGTTTTGTTTTCAAATTGAACAGATTCTTGCTGTATTCATCTGTTTGCTTTATGATGGATAATTGCATTGCCTTTTCAAAATGGAACACTGAATCAAGTTATGTCTGGAAAAGGGAAGCTCCCATTTCCTGCTTTTTTTTTTCATGGGTCTGCAGATAAATAGTAGATGGGGCAGGGGGAAGATGTTTCAGGTAAACCGATAGTATTGCATTGTAAATTGTTACTGCAACAGCTGCTTAATTTAGGAGTCATAATTAGGAATCTTTTTCATTGTTCCCCAGCGCAGGTAAATGAATAGTTTCCCAGTTCTAGTAAAACGTTTTTGAATAAACTCTTTAGTTGTTCGCTTTGGGTCTCTCGGGTGTTAGATGCAATAAAAGTCGTACGAATGGCTGCACTGGGCTCGACCAGAAATCCAGATACTCCAGTACTGGCGTGTTGGGCAGTGGCAGCGACTGAGGAAAAAGATTGTGAAACAGGGCAGGTATTGAATATCTCTGCCCGAATAGTGGGAGAATGTGTTTGGAAACCTACCTGTTACAGATGTCCTGAGCTAGAGGCTTGGCATCTTACACAGCCCTTGAATAGCTTTTCTTCCATTAATTCAGTTGCTTTTTGAGCACGTTTATAGCCTGGTATGGAAGATACGCCGAGATGGTGAGTTCTGCAATGGAATTGCTCAGTATGTAAAAAATACTTGTTTAAAAGTTCTGCCGGACTTCATTTGGTGCCCCTAAGCTCTTATTTTTTAAGACATATTGAAAATTTCCCCCTTTCCACCTTATTTATGCTGGGCACGATTGAGTAAAACCTTCATCATGTCATCTGTCGAAGCGGAGAAGTCTGTGTAATCTCTTCTTGATTGGAAGTCCTTCTGTAGCTTTGTGATTATCCTTTCTCCTCCGCAAATGTTCCTTTTCTAAGCTGGAGGACACCAGAACTATTGTCATCACACAAGATTTGGGTGCCCGGGGGATTTAGAGTGGCATTTGCTTGCTCTCTGCTTCTGAATTCCTCTCTTTTTCTCATCTGGGGGGATGAGAACTCAGGCTGTGAGAACTTAAATTCTCTTTCCCAAGTCATAATAGATACCTGACAGCTTATTTCTATGTATATAAAATTGATTTTCTCACATGTGGTTCTCCTTTGCATTTATTGACACTTAATTTCACATGTCCTCATTGCTCAAGCATTCAGTATTACAAGATTTTTCTTTTTTTTTTTTTTTTTTTTTTCCCCCTGAGTGTCCCAAAGCATTTGCAGCAGTTGCAGGCTTCATCTCATGGCCCTTGTTTTCTGTGCAGAGGCACGGGTTCCCACCCGCACACCTCTGGAGCTCTGCGAGGAGCCCCTCTGCACTGAAAACTCTTTATTCCTATTCTGCCATCCCTTTCGACCGGTTGTTAGTTGACAAGAGGATTTTCGTCTGTATGCAATAATAACGTTGAGGTTTTAGCAAAAGAATTTTTGAAAGGCTTTCTGGAAACTCAGGAATACTGTTCCTGTTGGATCGTTTTTATTTTCCTGCTCCTTCAGAGACTGCTGTAAGATATGACCTCAGCCTGCGTAAGCAAAACTAATTAACCCTTTTGTATGTTTGTATGTTTATTAATCTGTTACCGAAATGAGACTTCCTGGCTCATAGCCCCTAGCTCTCCTTGGCCTTCAAAAAAAAAAAGAAAAAAATCTCTCATTCCCTTGGTACTTGGGCCAATTTAAGCCAAGCTACGTGCCAGAATAAACAATGCAGGATTTACTGAGTTCAGCTGAAAAAAAAACCTTCTTCTGAAACCCGCCTCCAGCTGCGGAGCGGCTTCAGCCAGGAATACTTAGCAAAACGTTTGCAACGCTTGCACTGTCCTGTCGATGACGGGCTTTACGCATCTAACGTGAAAGTGCATATGAGTATTCCTGCACCGAGGAGTTCAGAGGTGAAAACAGCGCAGTAGCTTGGCAGTGCAGTTCTGCTGGTGAACTTGAATTCACCGCTAACCCCAGGAGCAAAATGCTGCTTTGGAGTCTGTCCTGCCCGCTGTGGTTAAGTACATGTGAACTGAAGAATTTAAGTAATCGCATTTCAAAGGTCTTTAAACTGTCAAAACGTCGCAGAGAAAGGTCAGGAGTGCACGTTAGAAGTTAAAAAGTCCTGTGAGAACCCAGCGTGTTGAAGTGCGATGACTACCCAGCGGAGTCCTTCAGAGAATGCTGTTTAGAAACCGGTTTCAGCATTTTTATTTTTAAAGAAAGGTTAACATATACCAGCACCCACCCAGCTGCTAAGTGGTGTGAACGTTGTCATCTGTACCCAGCGATGTGAGCCTCGCATCCGAGTTTTACTGGAGTAGTCCTTGCAAAAGCAACTGATGCATGTGGAGAAGCACGTATGACGCCTAGCTAGAGTACTGGCCACTTTGCATTCAAAGCGTGGACCTGGTATTAATTGATTGTGAGAGTTCCACAATCAGGAGGCAAAAGATTATGGAGCAAATAAAGAACGCTTCTCCCTGCCAGCAGGTTTCCTTCTGAGCCATCTTAAAAAGCTGTCTGACATATATTTAATACCTGAATACCTTCCGTTGCAAGGATTCAGCACTGCTGAAGGGACACAGACACTTCTTTTGGTTTTCTGATTTCTGTTTGAGTGTTTGGGACAGAACAACACATGTTTTGAGCAAACTTTGAGTGTTGGGGACAGAACAACACATGTTTTGAGCAAACTGTTCTCTGTGAGTCAGTCAGTCCATGCTGTGGAACTTTCTGGAAGAGTTCCCGTTGCCTGCCTTAGGAGGGGAGAAGGGTAGTAAGAGCTCGTTAAATATTATCAGTAGAAATCATCTTCAAACACACGTTCAAGTGTCTGAGTTCAAACACGTTAAGAGAAGGCTATAAATTTTGAAATTAGCAAAGCAGCGAGTTCTACTTCAACTCAAACCCACCGGTGCTGTGGTAGAGTCTCATGTCACAACTTCTGACTTGAAAAGTTACTGAAACTTTATTAAAATACACCATAAACATCCGTGTCACCGTAGGCAACAGGGAAGCGTAGGCTGCAGCTGTGGAAGGTGACCCTCAGAGCAGGACGGCAGCACTGCCTTGGTGGTGCTGGTACTGGACAGGTAACCAGCTGGTTTCTTGAAGCACTAGGGGAAAAAAGTCCTTACAGACTTAACTGCAAGGAATCGGGCGATGGTGACAAGGCAGGAGGACAGCCAGGACGCCGACACTCAGAGCAACTGCACAGCGACTTCAGCCCAGAGGCAACAGTTCCTCCACTCCGGGGGTCTAACAATGAAAGGCACGGCCTGGGTGACAAGGGGTCTGGCTAACAATGAAAGGCACGGCCTGGGTGACACGGGCTTTCTTCCCAGAGCCAGAACTTACCTCAGGGGGTGTCAGAGGATACCTGGGCACTGAGGTGGATGATCATTGCTTCCTCAAAATAGGACAGAACTAGTTTAAGTGTTTTCTTGAGGAGTCTGTTCATCTTCTCTGGTCTTTATGAGTGGATGTAGTTAAACAGGAGGGATGTGGACTGTTACAGGCATGTTTCTGTGAGATTCTCTCCAGCCCACAGCTGATTGTTTATTTACTTTCTCTAGCCTTAGCATGCGGAAGTGCTGTGCCAGAAACTCGCCCACGCAGCTACAGCATAGTGTCTCTTCCTACCATATTCATATAAAAACCCACCTGCTTGGTTTGGCACAGATCTTCAGTATAAAACCTCCTTCTGTTGGAATGAGGGGTCTCATTCCCAAATATCACTGAACACACTAGGAGCGGAACTGTGACATTTTAGAATGCGTTCTTACTAGTTCATAAGCAGCGAGCACGCCAGCAGGAAAATTTTCATGCTTGACTTTCCTTTGGTTTAAAGCTAGAGCTGAGGTTTGTTTTTTTGTTTTTTAAACAGCTCCAGTGATGTAATTTTTATCTAACTATGTTACTGCCAAATAGAGGAAGATGCTGCATGTCCTGTAGGATTGCCTTCCCCCACCCCAACATTTTACACACAGATTTGGAAGCGAGTGGCTGCATCACACAGGCAGCAGCAATGAGAAACTGTACAGGTCGGGAGTGAAGTGTCTCGTCCAGGTGTCTGTCACAGCCACGTAGACACAAAGATACACCACGCCAGTATTAGTTATCGCGATACCGATCTTAGTATTGTATCCTTTGTTGCCAGATGTGCAGCTAGGTTCTCTCGAAAGTCATGGAGGTAATTGTATTGCTGAAAAAGCACAACCAGATTTGTAATGAGTGCTCTATACTTCCAGAAGAGGCACTACCCATCTTAAAAAGCTGTTTGATACCCCAGGATGAAAACTGCACCCTCTAGTCTGTTTATTTGTTGTTCTTGCGCTTACTCTGAATCCTCTGGAATTTTTCACCATCAGACACAGATTACATGGATCTCGGCTTGGCTCCTGTGGTTCCTCATAAAGGGCACACGTGAGCTCAAGGTAACGCAAAACATGGTCCTCACAGGTGGGAGTTTCATGTCAGAATTCAAAGCTGCTTTATTTGGGTCACCGAGAGTATTACTCTCTCCATAATGAGTCCCTGATGCAGAACACACCCTTTAGCTAGTATGATGTACAACAGCTTGTAGTAAGAGTTCTTGGGTCAACTCTTGCATCATGTGGAGTATTAATATGCAAGCGTTCAAAATGAGAGAAAGACGTTGGTCAGCAGAGGCTAAGGGACAGATCAGCCACCCCCAGTGGCTGTGAGGGCTTCTAATTATAACATTTGTTCGTCTCCTTCCCCGCCTCTTCAACCAGAGATGCAAGCTGCTCCCCACCTGCCCCCTTGGTTTGCGGAAAACTGATTTTCAACAAGTAGTTTAAACAAGATTCGCCTTCCAGAGAGGCTTAGAGCTAACAAAGAGGCAGTCTTTAGGCAACTCTTTCTCCTCAGAAACTACTATCTTGTAAACTTTTTAAATGCCAGCTCCTCTTTCCTGTACGTAGACCTATTTTAA